CACACACATATATATATATATATATATATATATATATATATATATACGCTCCATACCATAGACATACCCCCCCACAAACACACACAAAGCAAATCCCTGAACATATGTACCAGAAACACTCCACAGATCATTGCTGAATGGACTGATGTTTTTCTGTGTGAAGGGAACACTGCAGCCGCAGATATTTCTGTAAATATGATGAAACATAGTATATAGTAACATAGTAATGTCTTAAATATTTGAAAGGCAAACAGCTGCACTTGAGCCATTATGTTTGGTGTTTGGCTGGCTGGAAAACTATGCAGATATTACCGTTCAAAAGGTTTTAGGTCAGTAAAGCCCTGCTTACACCTGGAATTAAGGTGAAAGAGACACACATTCCCATTTACACGTGGTGTTTTACTCCATCTTGTTCCCAAAACATTTTAAAGGTTCTTACTGATCCCTTTCGAATGGTAGTGTATAAACATATTTTCTGAAGAAGAAAAAAACCTTGCTACAAGCATGCAATTTCAGATTGTTCATGTAAGACAAGCTATTTGCACATTTAATAACAGTGGTAAAGGTTTATTGTAATCCCTCACCTTTAGTATAAGCCATAGTAATATTGATGTTTGCCCTAGCAAACTATATGTAAAGAGATCAGATTCAGCTTTAAGCTTACCTCACAATGAATATCTGGGGATAGACTTCAGACAGAGTTAATTAATCTTTTATGGTATCATGAGAATATCTAAGCCATTTTCGAATATTTTTACAGGTATTACCTGTTCGTGCAGATCTCAGATGAGTTAAAGTGAACCATCCATTGAGGAAAGCCAGTTCTCAATCAGCACAACAGGGCAACTCACTGAGTTTAACCCAGACTGTGTTCAGGGAAGGGATGCAATCCGCTACATCAGTAATGACCTGGTCACACACAAAAAACACATGCATCATGTGGAAATATGTTCTATAATGTGCAGGATCTTCAAATCACACCAATTCCATTTCACACAGCGTATAGCCATCATGAATAAAAGATGCACAAAGATTCAAGTAATCAGATTCCATGCACCAGCGTGTCTTTTGTGTGGCGACTTGTCGGAGTCTTTCTGCATGAGGTGAATCCTCAGCGCGTAGTTTAACACTTGTTTTGTCAAGATAATGAGGGCATTTTACATCCAACACCCATATTATCTGCAGTCATTAAGCTAATATAGGCATAGACTGTATTTTGGTCTGCGGTATTACGATTGATATTCTGGAAATGTGACGATTATA